TATATACACATACATACATACATAAGATATTGGTTTAGTTCAGGTTGATGATTGACATTCGTTTGAAAGTTCAGTATATCGATTTGAAAGGTGGCGACGTTGGACTCTTGATGTGAAGCTAGTATGTGTCTATTGAAAGGTGCATTTATAGGTTCGATGCATGTATTTTGCTATGTAGAGTTCTGTTTGAAATAACTTTGTATCGTTTAGAAGATATAGCATGGGTTAGTAGCCCGGCGCAGTATAATTGGGGACTCGTTGAATTTTAGAATATTGGGGAAGGAAAAAGTGCCACACGTCTGTTTGTGTGTGCAAGCTTGCATGTTGCAAGCGTGTCGATTAGTTATCAGTAAGTTCTGTTATTTTAGATCGCGACATATGGACTGCAAGGAGGAATCCATCTTCTTGTATTGCTTACCGCGTTGCGTATAGTATGTCGAGATTGGTTTACGATTAGGACTCGTTCCCTAAATGGTCATTGTACCCTCGCTACATTTCCAGTGATCTTCATATGTACAGCGATTGTATTATATATATATATATATATATATATATTTGTTTGTTTGTTTGTGTATGTGTGCTTTCTCAGTTTGCTTTCATTGAGTAGTTGTTTCTACTAGATAATCAGTAGAGTAGAGGAAACCCATATTTTTTAGTTTACCTGACTGTAAAACATAATTTGAATCCTAGAATTATGCCTAAGCAGTATTTCCTGGTTGTTGCTTCCATCTAAGTTGTTGATATTATTCTTTCAGCTCACGTGTATCCTAATCGTTTTACAGATCACTTCCATCGAGCAATTGTACTTGTTCGCCATCCCCATCAAGGAATACCAGATCATTGAGAATCTACTACCCAAGGCCGCTCTTAAGGACGAAGTTCTTAAGATTATGCCTGTGCAGAAGCAGACATCTGCCGGACAACGTACCCGCTTCAAAGTAAGTATACGATGTAGTAGCATAGCTTATATATAGCGCGAATAATGCTGCATTCGCCTGTTGGTTGCTCCTGATATGAATACGAATCCATGCTGCATCTGCAAAAAAACAATTTGAAGTTAAAATGATTCTATGAAGCAACTGGCGACTATTATGCTTGGGCTTGTTAGAAGCGATGCGTGTTAATTCATGTCCATAGATAATAACATATCGGTATATATCCACCGTATCATCGCAGGCGTTCGTTGTCATTGGTGACAGTGACGGACATCTAGGTCTAGGAGTCAAGTGCTCCAAGGAAGTTGCTACTGCCATCCGTGGTGCCATCAACCTGGCCAAGCTATCCATCATCCCCGTGCGTCGTGGATTCTGGGGTAACAAGATCGGAGACCCCCACACCGTACCCATGAAGGTGACCGGTAAGTGTGGTTCCGTTCGCGTGCGTCTCATCCCTGCCCCCAAGGGTACCGGAATCGTCGCGGCTGGAACACCCAAGAAGCTGCTGCAGCTTGCCGGTGTCCAGGATTGCTACACCTCTGCGTGTGGATCCACCCGCACCATGGGCAATTTCGCCAAGGCTACCTATCAGGCCATCCAGCGCACATACACATATCTTTCACCGGATATGTGGCCTGAGACCACCCACTCCAAGGATGTGTACCAGGAGCACACCGACTTCTTGGCTAAGGCTCCCCGCGCCAACAAGGCTATGGCTTAAATATTAGATGGTGCCGTATAGATACTGTGGTCTATTTTGTCCAAACGTATAAGGACGTGCTAGACCGGGGTAATAAACTATTATACTATCACAATAATATTGCGACGGTTGGGATTTTGGCTACGATATGTTTTCATGTTTATACGACGGAAATGATGCGAAACTAAAACAACTTCTCAGAATATTGCTTCTGAGTTGAATGTTCGAATAGTGACCTTTCTGATCGAAATTGTCAAAGAGTGTGAGATCATAGAAAGGCGAGGGTTATTTTTTATATTTACTACAACTATGAACGTGTTGAGTATATTGTATCACATCTAGTTAAAATATGTGGTATGTGCAAGTATGAGAATATATATTTATTTATATGAATATATACGTATATACATATATATATATATATATATATAAATATACATATATATAAATACATATATTTAAATACATGCATATATATATATATATA